CGGGCCGCGGGCCCGCAGCCGAGCGCAAACCCCGCTGGCCGCCGCCGCCATGCACGCCGCGGAGCCCCCGCCGCCCGAGGACTCTGGGACTACGCCGAGGCCGAACTTTTAGGTCCCACTGAGCGAGGCCCGCGGGCCGGGTGGGGGGCTGGCTGCGGCACTCCCGCGGAGGATGGATGGCCGAGACTTCGGGCCCCCGCGGTCCGTGCACGGCCCCCCGCCGCCGCTGCTGTCCGGCCTGGCTATGGACAGCCACCGCGTGGGCACTACTGCGGCCGGACGCCTGCCCGCTTCTGGCTTGCCCGGCCCGTTGCCGCCCGGGAAGTACATGGCTGGCCTCAATCTCCACCCGCACCCGGGTAAGTGCCTTGCGCCGTGGCCGCCCCCTCCTGCCCCCCGTCCCCCCCCCCCCGGGATCTTGGGGAGGGAGGCCCGGGAAAAACTGTTCGGCCTGTTCCTTGGCGTTCTTGGGACGCGGCACGTCTCTTTCCCTGGGCGGGTCCACGGGGGTGCGGGCAGGCTCAGCTCCCAGGGCGGGGAGACCCCCGGGCCCGGGACGGAGGCCATTCCCGAGGCCCCGGCGGAGAGGGTGCGCGGCTCGTCTGCTTTCCCCCGTGCGCCATGCCCTCCCGAAGCATATGCATCTGCCGAAACCGGAGCCTCCGGAGGCGATTCCGACTCCCGGGCCCCTGCTGCTCCGGGCCAGCCTGGGATTTTCAAAACCTGGGCGAGAAAAGAACAAGCCCGCTCCACACCCTTTGAGACGTCGGTTCCCCGAGCTCGAATCCTTTTCTTGGCAAACGCCCTTGCCCGGCGCCCGTGGGCCGTTCTAGCCCCTCCACTCGCAGCGTGCGGGGTTTCCGTCCCGCCCCGGCGTCGGAGGCTGCGGGGAGAACGGCCTCGGGCGGGCGGGGACCGTCTCGCCACCTCTCGGCCCCCGGGAGGAGAGCGGCGGCCCCGGGACTCACACCCCGGTAGGAGGGCAGCGGCTGCGGCCCCAGGAGCCCCTTGTTCTCCGGCGGGAAGGCGGGCGCGCGGCGCGGTGGGGCGCAGAGACTGGGCCGCCGCCATCCCGAAGCTCGGGGAAGGAAGCGGCGTGCGAGCGGATCTGGCCGGGCACGAGCGGCGGAGGGAAAACCTTGGGCCTGACCTCGAACGTCGGGAGAAGGTGGCCGAGAGGGCCCCGGAGGCCTCTGCCTTTTCCCGAGAGGGGCCGCTGAGGCTCGGTGGGGACGGCCCCCGGGCGGGAGAAGCTCGTCCTGGGCGGGCCGCGGCCGCTGCAGTCCAGCCGGGTGGGAAGGGAGGCGAGGGGCACCTCCACACATGCCACCGGCCGCCGAAGGACACCCGCTCCCTCCTCCCCGGCTGCCTCCAGCTGCTTTGCTTGGCGTCCTACGCTTCACTTGAAAAAAAGCCACCTCTCCCACTCCAGAGTGTAGTCTGGGACTCTTGCGATTTCTCGGGGAGCCGCCGACTCTCCCCTCGGCCTTGGAAGGGACTCCTCCGGCCGCAGTGGCCGCCTTGGCCCTGTCCCACCGACCCTGCCCGCTCGACCGAGGCCGCGCTGGCCGGTTTTGCCTGTGTCTTTGATTTTTTTTTTTACGGAACTTTTCAGGAACCGGAGTCCCGGGGCTCAGAGGGACAAAGGGCCTTTGTGAGGCGCCGGGCAGGGGAGGGGCACACGCGGGGGCCGCGAGCCCGGGCATCCCTACCCGCCGGGGTGCGAGGACTGGGTCTTGGCTTGGGGGCTCGTGCCCGTGTCCCCCCTGGAGCTGAGGCCGCATTCTGCCCAGGGGGCCGTGACCAGGGCTATGGTTTTCTCTACCGTGGTGCCAGGATCCCAGGGAGGGGTTAGGGGCTGCCCGCGGTACAAAGGGCAGCGTGGCCATCCCCTTTTGCCCGCCCTGAGGCCAGGGTAATTTTTGTGTTTGCCTCTCTTTTGAGTTCATCCCTTCACTTAGTTCGCCCCAGGGTCGTGGCGGCATCCCTCGGCCTGGGAGTCAGACCCTGGGTCTTCCTGGCTGGGGGTGCCTTCCCTGGTCTCTGTGTCCCCCCCCCCCCCCCCCAGCCAGGGAGAAGGCGTCCCATCTCCAGCCTGGTTCCTGCCTGACAGAGCCATGTGCCCTAATGAGAAGCAGGAAAAACAGCTACTACTCAAGGGGGTGCCTCTGGCAGCCTGCAGTGTGCCAGGGCCCAGCGGGCCGACTAACGCCCATTAGCTAGATGGGGAGGCTGAGGCTGGATAGGTGAAGAACCTTCCCAGCGGCAGGCAGGACAAGGAAGTCCAGCTGGAGGTGGCCGCAGAGGCCTGTCTTCTGAGCCTCCTGCTTTAGAAGCCGTCTGCCTCCTGCATGCTTGGCAGCTGAGGTCATGGAGGAAATAGCAGGCAGGCTTGGAAAGTGCTGCTGTGGCCATGCTCACCTGCGAAGGAAGGGTTGGGGTGGGGGGCAAGCTGGCGCTGTCCCTCGCTGCCTCCACCTTGAGTGGCCTCAGGGAGACCCTGGACCCTAGGCCAACGCCCAGAGCCCAACCCAGTGCTAATCCTATTAGCCAGGAGGTAGAGAGCTGTTTCCCATTCACTGCTCGGGTGGGGTGGATTACAGATTCCTCAACCCAGCCCCCCTCCCCCTCTTTCTTTGCTGGGTGCAGGTGCTAAGTTTTCTCTTTCAGGCGCTTCTCCTACTTGGCTGTCAGCTTCTTAGGTCTGGCCAGCGTTATCAGCCCTATCTTTATTTGTTTGTTTTTGTTCTGGGAAGCCAGGAGAGGCTGAGCCATTTGCCCTGGGTCACACAGCGAGGCAGTGTGAGACCGGATTACTCCGACCCCTTCCTAGTCTGCTCTCCAGAGTGGGTAGGGGAGCCTGTGAACCTACCAGAGCTGCTCCTCTGGGAGACTCTGGGAGAACTCCTGGCCGGAGGGGGACCCTGGCTAGGGCTGGGCTGTGGCCACCCCATCAAGGCAGGTGTTGACAGGGCACTGTGGTGAGTGACCCCCCCCCCCCCCCCCCCCCCCCCACGCCTTTTTGCATCCTCGGTCTAGGCTGAGGGCTTTGGCTCTTTCCTGTGCAGAAAAAGAGGCAAATAAAGAATAAATGGGGTTTGGTTGGCCATTACCTTGCGGGTAACCTTGAGTATTGTTATACAGAGTGAGCTCTTAAATGTTCTCAGCAGTCAGTGAAATGGACAAGTAAGTGACAAGCACCTTTTAGGCTCCCCTCTTCAGTTCTGGGGCTGGGAGCCCTGGACCCAGCCCTCCTCAGGCTGCAATTAAAGACCTATTAGCAGGATTTTGTACTTGGATGTTTATTCTCCCTGCCCCCACTCCCTGGGCTGGCTGGGCCCCGCAGGATACATGAATGGGGGGTGGAACCCAAGGATCAGGACCAGGAGGCCATGCACTTTGGACTGGCCAGTGGACAATAGGGGGCCACGGGCCTTCTCCAGGGTCCATCAGCTGTATCTCTGGAATCCAGCCGGTCGGCCTACTGGGATTGATTTAAAGAGATTAATCAGTGGGACTGGCCGGTGGAGTGATACGATCCAAAGATAAAGGAGATTTGCTGGGTGCTTCCTCCTCTCTGAGGCCTGGGGCAGGTTCTGGACTCTGGATGGGGGGCGGCAGGGGGGCTCCTGGGCTCCCTGACTCTCCGAGCCTACTGGTTCCTTAGCTGTCAACCCAAACACTTCCTTTCTTCCCTTGTTCATTTACTCGGCAAGCCATTTCCAAGCGTCTCTTGCGCGCCAGGCACTGCTCTGGCTCTGGGAATCCAGCGATGGCCAGACGCAAATCTTTGCCCTCATCGGAGTCCCGTTGTAGTGTGGGGGCCAGGCAGTAGTCGCACACACACATCGTCGAAGGAAATCGTTTTAAATAGAGATACAGGCTGCGAAGGAAAGAGAATGCCCAGGGTCTGTTTGGGCTGGAGTGAGGGGCTCCCAGGAGTGAGGGACTAGGAGAGCGGAGAGGGGGACCCTGCAGGTCCCTGAAGGCCAGTAATGAGGTCTTGGAATTTCACACTGAGGAATGAGAAGGCAGTGGAAGGTTTTAAACGGAGAGGGTGATTCAAAGCGAGGGACGTTTTACAGAACTGGTCTGGACTCTCTTTTTCTTTCTTTCTTCTTTTAAATGTTTTTATTTGTTTTTGAGAGGGAGACAGACACAGAAAATGAGAACGAGTTGGGGGGGGGGTGTGCAGAGACAGAGGGAGACACAGAATCTGAAGCAGGCCCCAGGGTCTGAGCTGTCAGCACAGAGCTCCATGCAGGGCTCGAACTCATGAGCTTGAGCTTCGAGATCATGACCTGAGCCCAAGTCAGAGGCTTAAAGGACTGAGCCACCCAGGTGTCCCGGAACTGGTGTGGACTCTTAAAAAATGTCAATGGCATGCCAAGACAGAGGAAGGCCGAGAACAGTTCCTGATTAAAAGACTAAAAAAATGTGACCGCAGAAGGCGATGTATGGCCCGCGATTGGATCTTGGATTGGGGAAGAAATTGCTCTAAAGTACATCATGGGTGCAATTGATGAAATTGGAATATGGGCTGTAGATTAGCTGATAGTGTCAAATCAATATTTGGTTTCATGAAGCTGATAACTGGACCGTGGTTATGTAAGAGAATGCCCTTGTGCTTTGGAAGTAAGAGCACTGAAATGTCTAGGGACAGGGGACATGATGGCCACAACTTACTCTCAGGAATGGCTCAGGAAGAGACAAATTTATAGACGTATGGGAGACACCCATAAATCGCTGAGCCCGAGTTACATACAGGGTGAGAAAGTTCACAATGGCTGGACCTGGGGAAGGTCATATGGCAGGTCATTGTACTATTTCAAACTTATCCCCGAGTTTGAAATTATTTCAAAATAAGCATTTAGCACAATTGGTCTGGGCTGCCAGCTGGAGACTGTGTGGTGGGTAGTCCGTGGCAAGGAGGCTGTTAGGGAAGGTGATAGTGACCAGGGAGGGAGGCTGGAGGCGGCCAGGGTTTGGGGCTTTGGTGGAGGTCAGGCTACAAGGAAGACGCATGGAGGGGAAGAGAAAGAGGACGGAAGCTGGCTGGATTTTTGGGAGGTGCTGCTTGTGGAGGAATGGGGAGGAACAGATTGGGGAGAGTGCGGTGATTGGGCATTCTTGATTTGGATGGGAGCAGCTTGGGGTGCTTTTGTTCCAGCGTGGACCAGTATGGTCTGAGCTGACTTATCTCCCTCCTGGTCATCGTTAGCCCTGGCCTCCACCCAGACTCCAGCCCCATCACTGTGACCACCCTATCCTCCTTTACGTCCCAGCCCAGCTTTTTTTTTTTTTTAATTTTTTTTTTTTTAACATTTATTTATTTTTGAGACAGAGAGAGACAGAGCAT